ACTTAAAAATTAACAAAATTTTATATTTTTAAATAAAAAAATAACAAAATTTATATTTTTATCTACATCTTCCTCACTAATTATGTTCTTTTATCTTTTAAAATCATGACTGCCTCCACCTCTTCCGGTCTGAAACCAAATCGAACCGGACCAGTATCCATCCCAACCGGATGCCATGGCAGGAAGGTATGGATTTCTTTGAGCCGATCGAATTTCCAAAAAGCAGTAGCTGAACCCGAGACAGACCCTCCAATTCGTGGTCACCGTTTTTTTTTTATTATTATTTTTAATTTTTAGAACGTTCCTCTCTGGCCAGCTGCTGACCTTTCTCGTCGCCAGCCAAAGTCCAACGAAGCCATGGACCCCTTAAAAATCGTCATTTTTTACTAAAGAAATTGAAGCTTGGGTTTGGAAAATCTCATTCCAAGTTTCCTGCAAGATCCAAGTGCTGCCAACAGGTTTTAGTTTTTATTTTCTGGGTTCATCGGCTTCTCTATTTCCCATTGTTTCATTTTCCTTTTGATCTCTCTTTTTGAGAGAAAGGGGAAGACGGGAAGAGGGGAAGATGGAGAGCATAGCAGTGTGGCAGGGGGCTACTCTGTTTGGAATTCTGACATGGATCATGGTTTCTTCATATTTGAATGTGACCAAAAAGGTCAGATCTTTGCTTCAGCCTTGGGTGGCTCATTATGTGATTACTGGCACCCCTACTATTCTCAAGATCCAGGTTTGAACCAAAATTAAGGTTACCCAGATTTTGTTTTTTGTTTGTATCTGGCTATTATGTTGATTTTTGTTGCATTTGGTTTCTTGGGTGTTCTGGTTTTTGGCAGAATCATCAGCATAGGTTCTTGGATGCTCTCTTCTCTGGGTTGTCCTGTGTGGTTTCTGTGCCTTTTTATACTGCTTTTCTTCCTTTGCTTTTCTGGGTATGCTTCTTCTCTCTGATTCAGTATTTGTTATGGTTGATTTTGTTTATATTTGTGAATTTGTTCGTGTGACTGCTGGGTTTTGATTATATCTAGGTGTTAGCATTTAAGGTTTTTAATGGAATACTTTCTGGATATCGTTTCAGAGTGGACATGTGAAATTGGCAAGGCAAATGACCCTGTTGATGGCTTTCTGTGATTATTTAGGGAACTGCATAAAGGTAGTTTGTTTTGCTTTCCTGGTTTCTTCTTTCTTTCCATAGTGTACTGAATACAATCACAGAAAAGTTAGTCTCACTTCATCTCATATTTGGTATCCTATTTTGTCCTAGGACACGGTGTCAGCTCCTAGACCCAATTGTCCCCCTGTTAGGAGGGTAACGACCACAAAGGATGAGGAAGAGAATGCATTGGAAAATGGATTGCCTTCTTCTCACACTCTTAACACAGTCTGTTTATCAGGGTATCATGTTAACGGTTTGCTCTTTATTCTTGTTCTTTCTCTAGCTGTGTTTGTGTGAGAATTTGCTGGAATTTTAAAAAATTATTGTTGAGAGTCATGGCTGTAACTGAGGATCCTTAGTAAGTGTTTTCAGAAATTGGCAATGCTTCAATGATACGTTGATGTTTGACTCGCCTTTTAATCATAATGGATCTTCAAACAAACTTTTCCGCATGCTTTAGCCCTCAAAAGCTTGGTCATGTAGCATATATCTTATTGCTAAGTTCCTGATCTCTTGTATTGATAGATTGGCAAAATTGGAAAAGAAAGAGAAAAGCTTAGGTTCTAATGTATTACCAAGAATGTGTGATAAATAAAGTGTGTGTGTGTGTGTGTGTCTGTAGAGATGTGTTTTGTTGTTATTTGTTAGTTGGCAGATACTTAAGGAATGAAGAAGTAGCTATTCTAATGCTTTACTCATGCATCCAGATACCTTCTATACTATCTCCTGTCCTACACAAAATGGGAATATGCTTCCTTGGAACTTGCTGGATTTTTGTTTGTGTGCTTGTTTGTGGGCCTTATTGCTGTGGGTAAGTTTAGTAATCTCTGGAAGTTCCTGAAAACATTTGTAGCTTTCCTTGTTGCCAACCTGAATTTCATATCCTTGTAGGAAGGATTTACCTTGGTATGCACAGTTTGATTGATATCATTGGTGGTCTTGGCATTGGTTTTGGAATCCTTTATTTCTGGCTAGCTGTCCATGAATACATCGACAACTTTTTAGTCTCTGGACAAAATGGTAAGTATGCCTGGTATATTGTACTTTATGCTCCAAAAGATTTGTTATTCTTACATGCCAGCTGTTGATATGTCATTAAAACCAGTTAGGTGAATAAGGGACCATATGCTAATATCAGCCATCCACCCATCTGCATAGCTCCTGTAGGGACAATGTCAATGACTTAGATGCAGGAGACATTTTAAACTGATAGGTAAAAAAACTAATGCTGAACAGAAGTAGAGCACCCTCCACTAAAGGTTGTAGGTTAGCTTTTAATTTTCAAATTTATTGGAGCCTTTAAGGGCAGTCAATTTGTTTGGTTTTTTTTTTTTTTTTCTTCTTTTTAATCCCACCAATTACTAATGCTGATTAGATTTAAGCTGTAGCATTTTGGAGGACCAAATATGATAGATTTTGTAATACATTGAGATAGATATTATACTTTCTTGAGATCGAATCTAGGATACCTGATGTTGAAATTTCAAACATATTATTCTTTCTATATTTCTTCAATGCTTCCACGTTTTGCTGTTGCAGTTACATCCTTTTGGGCCACTTTAAGTTTCTTGTTGCTCTTTGCTTATCCAACTCCTGAGCTCCCAACTCCAAGTTTTGAGTATCATACTGCCTTCACTGGTGTTGCACTGGGAATTGTAAGTAACTTTCAACCCTTTGATGACTGCCTCCAATATTTAATCGTCATGGGCACAATGGCTAAAATATAGGATTGGAGGTGCTTAAGGAAAATGTATGTGTTTTTCCTTTTAGGGGAATAGTGCATTAATATATTCTGATAAGAAAATGCATGCATGTTCTTTTGCCTACATTCATAACCAGAAGTGACAATGTTATCCAGGTGGCCGGGGTTCAGCAAACCTACTATCAGTTCCATCATGAAGCAGTTCCGCGCATTTTCACCCCTCAACTCTCCATCCCCGCTTTCTTGGGAAGAATACTTGTCGGCATTCCAACAATACTCATTGTGAAGTTCTGTAGCAAGGCTCTGGCCAAATGGATTCTGCCAATAGTATCAAACACATTGGGCATCCCTATAAGATCAACCAGTTACATCCCAATGCTTAATGGATCGGTTACTGGAAAGAAGTCAAATGAGATCAAGCAATCAACCTATGTCCAAAAGCTGTTCTTTTTCTCCCACCATGACTCGTTTGATGTAGATACTGGTATCAGATTCTTCCAATACACAGGCCTTGCATGGTCAGTAGTCGATCTTGTTCCTTCTCTGTTCGCTCACCTGAGGTTGTAGTTCTTGTTAGTTCATGCTTTATAGTTTATATAACTAGCTTACTAGCATAGCAATAGAGGGCTATTGATTTTGTACCTGCCACATCTTGTAAATCTTTCTCGCGAAGGAACAATCTATTTTTCTATGTTAATGAAATGAGAACTCTCCTACGGGTCATGAGTTGGGTTTCTTATTTACAGTTAATTTTTGTTATTTTTTTGGGTATATTAAAAAATTAATTACTTGACATCGCAGAAATTTAAATTTTTTATCTTAATTTCAAATCAAGATTCTTAAGTTATTAGACAATAACTTGATTTAATTTTTATTAGTTTGATTTGACGTTGTTATCAAAACAGTTGGGAACTAATGAGATCAATGTTCAAACATGACATTTTTATCAGTCAAATTTGAATGCGTGTGGACCAACTTCGCGTAGGAATCCAACACCATCGCCGTCATTATTCCTTAACAATTGGAATTGGAATTCTCGTATTGCACGGTATTAGCCTTCAAGCATTGCTTACATCATAAATCTCTGTTTGTTTGTGTGTGGGTTTTTTTCTTCTTCAGCAGTTACAAGGTATTAGGGTGTGGTAATATTACAAATCCCCGGCACTAGGTTAAAAATCAGTCCATTGTAATCTATAATGTATGTACCAAAATTAAAAATTAAAAAAAAAAATTCAGTCCACCATGGTTTTTGCATGGAATTATGGATATTGCGGGAATGCTAACCTTTACCATGGATAATTGGAATAGGGGCTTGTTTGAAAAAAAAACAAAACAAAAACCAATCTTAAGATATAGTACCTGTTGGGATAAACAAATAGGAAATGATAAAAGAAGAAAATCTACACACACAAAAATTCCTACATTGTCAGTCTTGTGTGAGCTACACAATTTCTCTGACTGTATCAGTAAGATTAAAGGTCATTTTCTTAGCCTAATGTATATGCGTCGTCACTCAAAATTACCAAAACCATGCACTGGAAGAAACTTCATAGAGGAAGGTACTAAATGTGACACATCTCCTAAGGCCCACAACGGCCTGACCACCTAAATAGGAAGAGGAAAGGAGGAGAAAGTAGAGAAACTGGAGTCAATGTAATGTAAAGATAGCTGCTTCAAAGGAAGTAATCTGGCGTCCTACGTGTGACATCTGGTTCTCCTCTTCTTGGGGCTGGCTCAAACTGCAGCATGTTGGAATTAACAATGTTATACTCTAGAATATACATCGACATTGCACTTGCATGTGCAGGAAAGGAAGAAGGAAGATAGGAAAGAGACCTGAATAAATGTGTGGTCCTTGCAGTCATCAACTTCCAAGATGGAAGCCATGTTTCCACAGCGATAGCAGTAATTGGGGGCACTAAATATGGTAACCACTTTTTGCTCCTGTCTCGAGGACATTTAAAATGAGAACGAGGCAATGTGCTAAGATGAAAAAAAAAAATAATGTCATTTTGGAGAAACTTGATTACATGTGCCCAGTTGAATCCATCCATAACCAGCTGATGAGCTCTAGCAATCAACTTTAGATTGTTTGTGTGATTGAATTGTTCAGATATATCCTGCAGGGAAAAAATTACATTGAGTTTCTGACAAGGAAGTTGAAAATATTTCGGATTACTAATTTTTAATAGAAGTTACCTGACCGAATGTATATCCAGCACCACGAGGTGAAATACCCCAACCACATCGGTCATCTGGGTCAGACCATAATAAATCACACATTGCACCCTCATGAGGAACCTCTTGTACACGATCAAAGTTCCTTACATTATCAAGGGTTTCAATGGAAGGGGATAATCCACCATGCAAACAAAATATCTCTGACTCAACCTATAAAGAGCACCAATTATTACTAAAAAGCATGAGTAACATGTGAAAATATGACACCATATTGCCAAAGCTATCTCACAAGACAAACAGTAAAACAAGAAACGGTAAAAGTTCCTTATCCATCATTAATTGTCAATGTCCCCTTTGTGGCAAATCCTACATTTGCACTATTTATGGCCTAACTTATAATAAAAAAAGCATGAAACTACAACGCAGAGCTGACAGCTAAAACATGGAGGAAAATGGCAATCATCAAATATCTAATATATTGAGGTATGAAGTAGCTCAATAATTTTTCACAAACAGATGCCTATCAATTCAGACCAAGGAGGCAAATAAAACAAGCAGCAAGTATTATATTTTACTAACCAAAGCAGTCAATGGAAAATAGTCAAAAAGGTCTGTGAAGATCTTCCAAACATTTGCATTGCCATACCTGCAAGAAAAAAGTATAGTCATGGATTTGTACAGCAAGCAAAACATGTTCGACAACAGTAAGAAGTTATGAATTGTCCAACAAAGGCATGCCCTAAAAACTAAATTGCCCTAAAAACTAAATTCCACCTGTGACTTTCATCGTATCCATTTAAGTAGATATAAAATCAAAATGTATTTTCTTAGCTGAAGATGGGAAATAATTGGCCTGAATTGTTACAAAAACACACATTTCAATAAAGCCGCATTGTATGTTAAATCATATAAAAATAGTATTCACAGTGCATCAAGGACTGCATGTCACAAGCACAGACAAAGATCAAAGTATAAGCATGCCTAAAACAGAAGCTTTACTTTGGAATAGTAACATTTATATGCCAAATTTGATGTTTTAACCCAAACGGAAATCACTGAGAAAGCTAATGCACTAGAAGAAGGAGAAGAGACATAAATCAATAGATATATAGCTGATATCATGACCAAAACTAAAGTCATGCACAGAAAACTCACTTTCGCAGACACTCGTCATAAAAACCATAAACCTGAGTAATCTGCCAAAAAAGAAAATGAAGATAATTAGCACAGCATTCAGCACAATAGCCAATGGTTCAAAGTTCATAGGACATGCACATATAAACTCAAAAAAACCAAAAAGAAGAAGAAGAAGAAGAAGAAGAAGAAGAAGCAAAAATAAAACTAAATTTAAAAATGAAAAATATTTTGCACTTTGTTTTTTATTTTT